CACTTACTTTGTGAGTACTGGGAGTTAGGTTAGTTGATTCTAGTATTTTTCATCTTTTCCATCCTTACTAGTTTTTTGTCTGCTTGTTCTATTAATTATTGAGAAATTTTGTCTGTTGAAATTTATAACTGTAATTATGGATGTCTATTTCAGCAAGAAATACATGAACTTTTGCTTTCTGAATTCTAACGCTTGGATTCTAGGTACATAAACATTTGGGATTGTTATATCCTTCTGATGAACTGACCTCTTCAATTATAAAATGATGCTTTTATCACATATACTCTATTTAGAAGTGTACTTTCTCTGATATTAATATAGACACTCTAGCTTTCTTTCAACTTGTGTTCACATGGTATACCTTTCTTCATTCTTTTTCTTTTCATTTAACTTATTTGTCCTTTGTATTTAAAGCATGTTTCTTGTAGACAGTATATAGTTTCATCTTGCTTTTTACAACCAACCCAACAATCTCTGAATTTTAACTGGGATGTTTATATTTAATGTGGTTAACATAATTGATTTAAATCTATATTTTTTGTTTCTTATGTATTTGCCCCATGTTTTATTGTTCCCTGTACTTTTTATGCTTTCTTTTGAATTAGGTATTTTTAATGATTCCATTTATGCCATTTGTTAGCCCATTAACGTTATACTTTCCCTGTGGTGGTTTTAGGTCTTACAGTATATAACTTATCACAGTCTACCTTCAAGTCACATTATACCACTAAAAAAAGCATAAGCACTTTACAGTGGTATACTTCTCCATCTCCTATGTTGTATAAAACTGACAATATGTTATTACTTTAGATTTAATCAGTCAATTATCATTAAATAAATTTGAAAATAAGAAAAATATATATTTATAAACATTCACCACCCCTAGTGCTTTCTATTCCGTTTTTTGTCTAAATTTGTATCTCATACCATATACCTTTTGTTTAAAGGACTCCCTTTAACATTTCTGATGGTGTAGGTCTGTTGATGAACTCCTTTAGCTTTGATGTCTGAAAACCTCATTATTTTGTCTTTGTTTTGGAAAGATATTTTCACTAGGTATAAAATTCTAGGTTAGTGGTGTTTTTCACCTTTAAAGTATCTTTCAGAAGTTCAAAGATAATGCCTCAATGCCTTCAGCCTTGTATTTTTCCTAATGAGAAGTCTTCTTGTCATTTCATCTTTGTTCTTCTAAAAGTTTTTTTTTTTTTTTCTGGTTGTTTCTAAAGTTTTCAATCACTGATTTTAAGCAATTTGACTATTTTATGTATCAGCAGAATTTTGTTTCTTTTGCTTGAAGTTCATTGAGTTTGGATTTGTGAGATTATAGTTTTCATCTAATTTGGAAATTTCCCATTCATTAATTCTCCAATTTTGGGGGTTGGGGAGTCTTTCTTCTCTTTTCTCCTGGGAACTCAATATATAAGAGTAAAATTTGGCCCTGGCCAGTTTGGCTCAGCAGTCGAGTTTTGGCCTACGGGCTAGAGTACTGGGTTCGGTTCCTGCTAGGGGCATGTGCCACACACACACACATACACACACACAAAAGGGTAAAATTTGTGCCTGAAATTTTCCCATAGCTCATTGGTATATCCAAATATTTTTTCAGGTTTTCTTTATCATTGCTGTTTCTGCAGTGTCAAATCTGCTGTTAATTCCATTTCATGTCAATTACTTTACATCTCTGACATATTTTTCATCTGTAGTAGTTTTATTTTAACAAACTCAATCTTTTCTCTACATGCTTGAACACACAGGTTGTAATGTTTATAATTATATAGGTGCTTTAATTTAATGAAAATCCATGTAATACAATCTGCTTTATAATAACTACTGTTCATTTATAGTAATTCTATGTATCATTTCTGGGTGCATTTGCTGTTTCTTGTCCTTATTTTGGATTGTATTTTTCTACTTTGTAGATCTGCCAATATTTAGTTAGACACCAGACAATGAATTTTACCTTCTTACTGCTGTTTATTTTTGTATTCCTCTGAGTATTCTTGAACTTTCTTTTAGAATGGAGTAACTTGTAAAGTTTCATCCTCTTGAGGCTTGCTTTTAAGCTTTGATAGGCCATACTAGAAAAATCTTTAAGTTTAGGTCTACTTTTTATCCTCACTATTGAGACAATACATCCCCACTATTGAGACAATACACTTCTTTGCACTCTGACCAGTGCCCTATACTTTGCATGGTTTTCCACTCTTACTGGTGAGAACACAAATAGTTTGTGTGAATCAAAGGTTTTCTATTTCTGTTCCTTTTGGGTGACTCTTTTTCTGGCCACAAGTGGTTTTCTTCCAGATGCACTGATGCTCTCTGCTGGAAACCTGAGGAAAATCCTCAGCAGATACATGGAGTTGTCTGCACAGCTGTCTCCTCTAACGCCGTGTTCTGCACACTCATGCAACCTTGACCTCTTGGGGCTCACCTTTCCTATCTCTTCTCCCTCAGAGATCACTATCATGTCTTGCCTTACATCCAACCAATGGAAACAACTGTTTCCTACATTTTGTTACTCTCAGCTGATAGCAGTAAGTTATTCCATGTTGGCTGATAGTTGAAATCCTTCATCCGAAGTAAATCTGCTGTTTTGACCATCTATCAGGCTGCTTTACGTTTTAGCTGAGGAAGAGGGGTATTATTACCTTTCTAAACCATTAAAAACAAAACTATTATTTATTAAGAGAATGTGTCCCTCCAGGGTAACTGCCACCTTTTTCCCCAAGGTTACAACTACGTTGTATCATTCAGTGGCTCCTAACAATGATTCTCTTGGGGACAGGGCAAGCATGTAGGGTTGTAGGGTTTGAAATGACACTTAAGAGGTCCTAATATGCTGAAAACTCACATCTCTACCATTTCTCCCTTATGTATGATACCAGCCTGATTTAGTGTTCTCTTTAGTAAGAGTATTTTGCCTCTTTATTAAGAATCTTTGTAATCACTTCTAAAACTTAGAAATAGGTTTTAAATATGATCACTTTTTGCATCTACTAAAAGAAACTGAGTTTATTTCATCTATTGAGATGGCATTTGATTACACTGAACCTAAATAATCCCTGAACAAACTGAAATTGGTCATGAGATGCCATCAATGTATTTCTAACTGCTATTTAAGATTTTCAAATGTATGTACACACAAGTACAATCAAGTTGCCATTTTTTGGTTATCTGCTTAAGGTTTGGGGATCTTTGGTTGCAAGCAATAGGAATGGATCTCTTGGTTAAGGAAAGATTTAATGAATTTGAAAGATATTCCACAGAAGAGGAGGCTAAAGGAATAGATAGACACACACAGCACTTCATTATACCATCCTTGCTCTGAATTTACCTCCATTGTTTTCTTGAACTATTCCAGGAACAGTTCATCTGTTTAGCCTAGTTTTGGTCTCATGTTCACAACATTAAGGAAAGTGACTGACAGTAACACCAAAACTCTATCCAGTGGGGTCTTAATTCTACAAATAAAAATTGAGTTGCTACTATCAGGGGTAAAAAAATGAATGCAGGATAAAATCAAAAGATGTTTATGTTGATTATATTCTATGTCCAGATATTTCCTATGCTTGAGACATGGGAATTTTTGACTACCTGCAAGTTAGAAATGACTCATTGGTGCACTCACCGTCCTCAGGTATGTTTAGTGAGCATTTGTGAAATCCTCTTTTAGTCTCTTCCCAACTATTGGTCTATTTAAGTCTCTTACTTCCAGAAGCTAGATTTTAAAGACAGCTATGATTGATCCATATAAATTAACAAAGACCTGTCTTGGTCCAGGTCCCCTTATGCTCAGATTCTGGCCTTTACACCAAGTGTATTCATTCATCTCCTCCTTCGGACTCAGACTTTCTCATTTCTCAGGACCCCTTCAGATGTTTAGTAGACAGTTTATAAAAGGCACCTTTGGCCTGGCCGGTTTTGCTCAACGGTTAGAGCATTGGCCCGTGGACCAATTAGTTACAGGTTCGATTTCAGCCAAGGGCATGTACTTCAGCTGTGGGGGGTCGTGCAGGAGGCAACCAGTTCATGTGGCTCTATCACACTGATGTTTCTCTCTGTCTCTCTCTGTCCCCCTCCCTTCCACTGCATCTAATGACAAATAGAAAAATATCCTCAGGTGAGGAATACAAAAATAAAAAATAAAAGGCAGCTTTTACTGCCTCGAAATGCAGAAATGTTTATTACCCACAGGCGATCTGTCACTCAGACTTCCTACCAGGCAATAAAGCTGTTTCTGGGAGCATGACATTTAAGGTGTAACAAATTGAGGTTCCCAGACTCGCTCTGCTGTCTTCCTTGGTTGTGTCAACGTGGCCTATTTTTCCTCCTTTGGTTTGTTTTTTCCTCTGTAAAGAGTAGACACCAGAGAGCCCTCATTAGAACCTGAAACTCTGCTATGGTTTTTTGTTTTGTTTTGTTTTTCAAGAATTCTTTTTGTTTGAAATATATTAGGGTCTTCAAAATTAAGAGTTCTGCGTGTTCTCGCTCCTTTAGTAGGTGTGAAAAGAAACCCTCACGGACTAGCGGACCCGGACAGTTCGAGCCTCAGCTCTATCACGACCTAGTTGTACCCCTGGAAAAATCGCTTTTCTGTTCCGGAGCCCACAAGAGGCGGGGCTCCGACGACAGCGGTGGCTCCAGAAGGGGGGCCACACAGAAACCCCGTTGTTACATGGCCAGTAAAACCGGCCGTTCTCCATGCATTCCGGACGGTCGTTTGACGGGCAGAACAGCGGTCACTACCCGTTTCCCTCCGGGATGGTCTTCAAATGCTGGGTCTGCTGCTGCTTCTAAAACCGAAGGCACCTGCTCGTCCCGCGCGGAATGTCGGGCAGCTCCCCACCCGCGCAGCACCCGCCTCCCGTGGGGCGCGGCACCCCAGGCCGGGAGGTGTGGGGCGGCGGGAGGCTCGGGGCGCTGGGCGCGGGGTCCACGCGAAGCCCGGGCCGAGCGCCCCGCCGCTGCCGGGGACCTGCAGCCCGCCGCCCGCCACTCACGGCCTCCTTCTCGAACATGCTCGGCCTCCGCTCCTTGCGAGGCGCCCCGGACGTGCCCGGCGTCGGCGTCGGCTGCGTCGGCTGCGGGCTCGTGGACGCGGGCGCCTTCCCGCCTCGGCCCCGCTTCTCCACCGCGCCCTCCGCGCCGGCACGCCCGGCCCCGCGGGCCCCGCCATCCGCCGCCAACGGGGCGGCCGCTTCCGAGCCCCGGGGTTGCGCCATCTTGTGCCGGCGCCGCGCCCGGCGGAAGTGGGCCGCGGAGGGGCGGGGCCGCGCGGGGCGCGTCATCAGGCAGCGCCGGCCGCTGGGAGCCGGAAGTCATGGAGGTAGAGCGGGGCTGCTCAGCGCGCCTCTGCGCCCCTTCTGGCGGGTGGGCTTCGGAGGGGCGCGCGGGGGTTCCCCCCGGGCCCCCGCCGTTGGCGACGTTCGTCCGCGAGCGGCGCGCTTGTGGGAGCCTCGCGCGACGCAGCCCGCCCCCCGCCCCCCTGTGCGGAGGGCCCGGCCGCGCCGCGCCTGCGCAGAGACCTGCCCGCTGGGAGCCGGCCTCGCGGGAACCTGGTGCCCGTCGCGGCCTCGGCCTCCGTGCCCCGCGGGAGCTGCCTGTGGGCGCCCGCGTGTCCGGACGCCCGCTTCCCCCTTTTTAGGCCATTTTTGGCCACAAGATGCTGCCTCACGGGGCCTCGTGCACTGGCCGTAGATGGGGTTTCGCGGGGCCGCCTTGCAAGAGGGATCGTCCTTAGTTCCCTTCCTGGGGCAGCTGCAGACCCCACAGCGGCCCCTGGCGGCCGGAGCGCGTGCGGCTCAGCACCTGCGCTCCACCCTTCCAGGGCCCTCGCTAATGTCTGCGGTGTAGGCGGTTCTATTTCGCACCGTTTTTCCAGTTAAAATTGAGCCTCAGGCATGATCAGTGCCTCTTCGAAGGCAAGAGGATTCTGAGATGAATTCAAATTTAAGTGGTTCCGGTCCAAAACAGGATGTTTGCCCCTCCCGGTGCTGCCCCGGGTGAGACGAGGCAGTGCCCACGAGTAACGGTGCGGACAGCACAGGCCCCGGGATTGTGTTGCAGCACCTAATGTCTGTTGACTTGAGCTTGGGTTTATTTTTTGACTGACAGTGGGGTCTTGAGTAGTCCACGAGAGTCGAGTATGGCCTTGGAAGGCTAACAGCGAACTTCTACAGTTGTTTCTGTGGGTAGTGGATGGGGTGGGGTCCGCTCCGAGTAGGAGGGGCCGGTCATTCAGTTACATCTTCCTGTTGGTTAACTGTGTGCCGGGGTCACGCTCTGCTGGGCATGTAAGACCCGGTGTCTCTGCTCTCGGATCTTACCGTTTGGTTAAGGCTGAGGACAAGCATGTTGATAGCCCAAAAGGAAGACTTCTTACAATGCAAGTTGCCATACCTAGGGCTGGCTTTAGTAGGCGGGCCAATGGGCTTTGTGTAAAAGCCATAATGCTGCCTGCACCCCTCACCCCAGAACTGCAGCTCATTCCTTTAGAGTTTGAAGGTGTTTTAAACTGCAGAGTCCCTTTTGATGTGCAAGTAAACCTTTAGAGTATTATATCTTATATCAGTCAGGAGACAAACCAAGAAGCGAAAGAGCTAACTAGGTATAAAATGGTTAATTGGGCCCTGGTCAGTTTGGCTCAGCGGTTAAAGCGTCAGCCTGCGGTCCGGAGAGACCCAGGTTCGGTTCCCGCTAAGGGCACGTACTTCGGTTGCAGTTTGTCCCCGGCCCTGGTTGGTCGTGCGGGTGGCAGCCACTCAATGTGTCCCTTCACGTCGATGTTTCTCTCTCTCTCTCTCCATTCCTCTCTCTCCCTCCCACTCTATCTGTACAAAAAATGGAAGAATATCCTCGGGTGGATTAAAAAAAAAAAAAAAAATGGTTAATTGTGCCCTGGCCAGTTTGGCTCAGCGGTTAGAGCGTTGGCCTGCGGTCCGGAGAGACCTGCGTTCGGTTCCCGCTAAGGGCATGTACCTCGGTTGCAGTTTGTCCCGGCCCTGGTTGGGTTGTGCCGGTGGCAACCACTCGATGTGTCCCTTTCACATCGATGTTTCTCTCCCTCTCTCTCCCTCTCCCTCTCACTCTATCTGAACAAAATATGGAAAAATGTCCTCGGGTGAGGATTAAAATAAATAAAAAATAAGCTTTTTTTCCTATTAAAAATAAATAAATAAAATGGTTAATTGGGTATCTGAAAGGATAAAGAGAGATGCCTCAAAGCATCATGGAGGTGTGAGCTGCAGGAAGCAGTCACTCCCCATAGCACTGAAGGAGCAAGGGGACCGGGAGGGGTTTTAAAGCACCAATGACGAGGAGGGTCCTGTACAGCTGAAACTCAGATCTCTGAGGAGGAGGTCATGCCGCTCAGATACCGGGAAGCAACCTTTGAAGGGGACGCACTGCACACAGGTTTCACTGGGGAGGTGGGGGGCCAGGAATGAAGCTGCAGTGCTGGGAACACTGCGGCCTGGGCTCAGCTGCTGCAGCAGCAGGTGATGCTCAAAGAGTAGAAAGCAGACAGGAAGTCGCCAGGCTTCAGGCAGCTGGAGCAAGTCCCTGTCAAGCACCCTGACTGGCTGAGAGCCGTGTGGCCCACAGAGTCACAGAGAGCCTCTGCATCTTTCAACGCAGGTTTCTCTGGGCAGTGCCGTCGCTGCTGGGGCCTGTGGGGCTTGGTTGACAGCACAGAGAGAGAGACGTGAAGCTTTGGGAGAAGAGGAAGGGCGGATGGGACGGCAAGGTGGCACTGAGTAGGGTGGGAAGCTTGGGGGCACCCAGGGCTTAGGAATGACACCCTCAACTTGACACACCAGATAAAGACTCAGTTCAGCTTCAGACCCGAAGTAGGACTCTGCCGGTTTATGAGGTGCGCTTAGAGGTGCGATATGGGGGTGATTCTGAGGATTGGGGTTGTATTTAATCCTTCATGGAAAAGCAGTGTGGTTTGCTGCTTTTTCTGTTTCAGTTCACTGTGCTTGGTTTTTCTGCTTTTCCATTTCCCATTTTAAAAAATTGCTTATTTTGATAAGTTTGGGATAGTAAAGGAATGCTGAAAGGAATAATGCACCCTTCATAAAACACTGAGCTTTTATAAACTTACACTGAACAAATATTGTGACTAATAAAATTTAAATTGTTAAACATTTATTTACTTGAAAATATTTATGTAAATTATCTTTAATTAATATTTAATCACAATGCTTTAATCATATAGCTCTCATAACATCCACAGTGTGTTAACAGTAGTTATACCTGAATGTGGTCTATTCTTATGATAGAATATTCTCGTGTTAAGTGTATAATTAATATGCTTCTCTTTTTACTTCTTGTTAAACAGTATCTTTAATGTTTTCTATCTCAGATATCACCAGAGGATCCAATCACCACATGTCTTTCTCCCTCAGTGTATGATATGATCTGTAAACTGGGGTTTGAAGTCAGAGAAGATCGTGATATCGATAGTATCGTAACTAAAAGTGGTGAAGTGTGCTGGAAGACCATCACAGACTGTGTGATTGACACAGAATCAGGTTTGCAATTCTCTGCGCCCCAAACATCTGTCAGTACTTTTCATTTGAATTGTCTTGACCTGTAACATTTCCCTTTCTGACCATTGCTTTTTTTGGTCAGAGAATGTTATTATACTGGCCTCAAAAGAGAAAAGGATTTGGTGTGGAAAGAGAGGGAATAAGGCCAGAGAAGCACTGAAGACTTAACAGAAAGCTCAGCTAAGAAAACCACATGTGAGCCCTGGCCAGTGGCTCAGTGGTTAGAGCGTTGGCCCATGGACCAATGGGACATGGGCTCAATTCCAGTCAAGGGCACATACCTCAGATGTGGTTCGTCCTCAGCCCTGGTCAGGGTCGTACGGGAGACAACCAATCAATGTGTCTCTCTCAAATTGATGTTTCTCTCTCCCTCTCTCCCTCCCTCCCTCTCCCACTTTCCCTCTCTCCCTCCCTCCCACTCTATCTGAGGATAAATAGAAAAATATCCTCCAGTGAGGATTAAAGAAAAATGAAAAGCACACGTGGGATGGAGAGGTCAGGAGGCAGTGAGGGCTGATGGGGCTGCAGCGATGTGATCTCAGTTCCAGGCCAGCAGTCCGGGTGAAGAAGAGTAGAAAACACAAGTCCTGAATTAGGTATGAAGTGATCAGTAACACATTACACAATTGTTTTAAGTGTCTTCCACCCATTTTTGCACATTTTTTGGAACAGGGAGTTGGCCTGGAAATTTGACATTAGTTGTAAAAATGATGAATATCCTCTGGGCCAGCAGTTCTGTTATAGGAATGAATAAGACTGGCACACTTACAGATAGGAAAGTGTGTGTGTGCAAGGGTTTTCCTGCAACATCATTTGTAATAGCAAAAGAGAAAAGGCATTGTAAACAACCAGATGTCAGGCAGTAGGGATCGCTTAAGAAAATCATGAAAAATTCACAGTGGAATACTATGCAGTGGTGAAAAAGAATGAGGAGGCCTGGCTTTCTGATACTGGACTCTCTTCAAGTGAACAAATGAGGATCCTATATCTGAATTTGTTTGTATATGTGTAAACATTTCTAAATACACACAAGGAATCAATCAGAACAGCTGCTCTAGGAAGGAGAATTCACTGTCCAGGGAGGAAATTTACCCTTTTATATTTTTTGATCATGACCTATGGGACTGTTCGACTCTAAACATATAAAAAATTACATATTATAAATGTGTTCTAAAATAATTAAGGTTGTTAGAAATCACACAGACTGATAACGTTAAGTAAAAAGAAATTGGGTTATGAACCTGATTTTGTGTAAATTTATACACCAGCAGAGATATTGAAAAACATGTTTTTTTCTGTTATTAGAACCTTTCTGTGTTTTCCAAACTCTACTGATAGTGTATTTTTGTTTTATAATCAGATAAGCACTGTATAATTTATTTCAACATAGGTGTGTCTTTTTTGTAAGTTGTTATAAACTGGTTGCTGATTCTGTGGAAATTCTGTAATTAGACCCCCCCCCCCCCCATGATACAGAACTATGGCGCTAACTTGCTTTCTTACCGTTGAAGCCCAGGGTCTGGATTACCAGGGGAGCGTGAGGCTGCTGGGCCCTGTGTGTGAGGCCGTCCATGTCCATTTCTCATCTCTGACCAGGAGGCAGTTTGAAGTTCAGTATGCACCGTGGCTCCGGTGGACAAGTTCTCCAGAGGTTTGGCCTTTGCAAACTCTACCTAGAAACCTTTATGACTTGCTAATTTTAAAGGGATCTCCCCTGGGGGGCCCTGAGGGAAGCGTGGTGCTGTTTGCAAAGTCTCTAAGTCTGAGCTGAGAAGCATGTCCTTTGACCAAAGGAAGTGTTGAGATGCAGCATCAGGGTGGGGGTAAGGGGGAGCTTGGTATGTGGGTGCTGGTCCTGGGACAAAAGTATAGTGGACCATTGCTGGAAAAAGGAAGCCCTCCTGGACGAGTTAGGTAGTCCTGAGACAGTGGGACCAGGAGCCTGGAGAGAGCATGCTGGCCTCATGCACAGCGAATCGGCGGGAGAAGGTCGTCTGGGCCCAGCCTTGTTTTAGCTGATTTGTTGGTTGGGAAAACCAACCGTTTCACTTGGCACATCGAGTGACCACAGTAGAGCAGTAACGCTAACACGTCTGCCTCTGAATTCCTTTGACTTTCCAAGTTTCGTGTGGAAGAATCCTTCCTTCTCCCTTTGTAATAGCTCTTGTGAGTGGCAGGGCGAGTTGCCTTATGTGGATTATTCTTAAGAACTAATCAAAATAAGAAATAAGATTTAGGTAAAAATATTGACCTCTCAGTGTACAGTTATACCACACTTACTGCTTTCAATAAATATTTAAATAAAGAAAGAACTCCTTAGAGATTATTTTTTATTATTCATATGTTATATTTACATCGAAAATGTTTACCTATACTGAAAAAGTCATTAAAATATGACAATCAAAATCTCCAGAGGTTTGAATTTTATGAATAGTCGTGTTACTTGGAGAAATACTTTTTATTGAGCATAAATTCTAACGTATCATATTCTAAACAGTTATTTCCAGAAATATTTGACGCCCTGGGGAGTCTTCAGTCTCCTGCTGTTTCTCTCAGCCTAATGAAGCTGACGGCATGTCTCGAGCGGGCCTTGGGCGACGTACGTGGGAGGCCCCGAACTGTTCTCACTGCAGTGTCGGAAAGGAAGTTCAACCCCCATAGTGGCCCTCAGGTTCCTTGACTTTAATGCTCGTTTTCCTGTAAAATACAATTACTTGGTACAGATTTTTAATATCTTTTTAATGATTATGATATGAAGACCCTGGTGTCTTCAGTATCTGTCTTCCACCATTTATCCAGACGATTGCTTTATGGGTGAATTTTCCCTGAAAGGCACTGGGCTCACCGGGGTGCAGCTGCTGTATGATTGTGTTTGAATTTCAGGTGTTTTTACTGGTCGGGAAAGAGTGCCCCTTCCTTCTGAGAGATCTGCTGGCGTCCGCGGAGCTCGCGGGAGTCTTCGGGCGGCCCGTGGTGAGCCTCGCACCCGCAGCCGTACAGCAGGCTCACAGGCAGGGTCAGACGCGGGCTTGACGCCACGGACGCTGCTTCCCACCTCTCCTGTCAGCCCCGCCCCTTCCGGCCAGGGACGCACTTCTCTGCCCCCTGGGCCTCAGTGCGGTAAAGAGCCCTGGAGACGCCTCGTAGGGACCCGGGCGCCAGTCCCAGGAGCAGCTTGAGTCTGTTGCTTCCATTAACTGTGTATAATTGTAATACAGCTTATTTTAGAACAAAATTTTAACTCTTCAAAGAGAACCTTACAATTTTATTCTAAAATATCAGTTATTTATAACGGGAAATTATTTGCTCTTTGGAACTGTACGGATTTAAGGTGGACAAAATATAAAAGTCAGTCAGACTCCACATTACTTTGGATGGGAAATCTGTTTTCTGCAGAACTTTCCCAGTCTTTACGGTGGTTCCTTATTCCCCGTCATCTTGAAGGTTGTATTCATTGCTCAGTAAACGTGGGTCCTGTGTTACTCTTACTCCCTCATGACGACGTGGTCCTGTGTTACTCTTACTCCCTCCTGACGACGTGGTCCTGTGTTACTCTTACTCCCTCCTGACGACGTGGTCCTGTGTTACTCTTACTCCCTCCTGACGACGTGGTCCTGTGTTACTCTTACTCCCTCCTGACGACGTGGTCCTGTGTTACACTTACTCCCTCCTGACGAGGTGGTCCTGTGTTACTCTTACTCCCTCCTGACGACGTGGTCCTGTGTTACTCTTACTCCCTCCTGACGACGTGGTCCTGTGTTACTCTTACTCCCTCCTGACGACGTGGTCCTGTGTACCTCTTACTCCCTCCTGACGACGTGGTCCTGTGTTACTCTTACTCCCTCCTGACGACGTGGTCCTGTGTTACTCTTACTCCCTCCTGACGACGTGGTCCTGTGTTACTCTTACTCCCTCCTGACGACGTGGTCCTGTGTTACTCTTACTCCCTCCTGACGACGTGGTCCTGTGTTACTCTTACTCCCTCATGACGACGTGGTCCTGTGTTACTCTTACTCCCTCATGACGAGGTGGTCCTGTGTTACTGTTACTCCGTCATGACCACGTGGTCCTGTGTTACTGTTACTTCATTATGACGACTGGGCACTAACTGGCCACACTGCTGTTGGCTCATTCCTTCTGAGGAAGGAAGAAAACAGCATCTGTTTTACTCAGTGGTTTATTAACGAATCACCAACACTGCTGTCCTTGGCCTGGCTAGATGAGCGTGCTGACGGTCTTCGTGGGCTCTCCACGTGGATTGAACCTGCGCAATGTCCTGTGGCATGGGTTCGCGTCGCCGTGGGAGGTCCCTCCAAAGTAGGTTGCCGTTGAAGTGCTTCTCTTCCATCTTGGGTGATGCTAGGAGTCTGTTTAATTTCACAACAAGGAAATGTGTCTCAAGCAGGATGGGAGACTTGAGACAGGCCCTTGCAAATAAAACTGAATGCTCATAGCAGAGCCCCTGCAGTGGCGATGGGCAAGCTGCCTGGCAGGATGACTCCCCCTTGTCTCAGCTTGGGAGTATCCAAGGTCCTCTTGTTCCAGCCCACCTGGCCTCACCCTGCCTTCCTGATTTTGAGCATTTTCTCTTGAAAGTCAAGCTTTTTATGTGCACAGCCGAGTTCATTTTTTAACAGGTCTCTGGTATTCTTCACAGGTACTGTTCCATGATGGTGCTGCTGACAGCTGGGCTGGGTCAGCTCCTGGAGGCCTACCTTCAGCGGACGGCGTGCACCATGGCACGCCGACCCCTCCTCACGCTCACAGACTCGGAGGACCTGGCCGTTTTCCCTGGCGAGTACTGTGTCTCACGCTTCCCTGAGGAGGTTGTTACAACGTGACGTCGTCAAGTAGCATCAGGCTTGATGAACTCTTTAGTGGAAGGTTCTCCAATGGCGACATGCTGTGAAAGTCCCGGGAGGTTTTGTGCTAGGTGTCGCCACATGAACCCGACCTTCCCGCTGTGCCCCGGGCTGCTGCAGGGAGTCTGTGGATCAGCGTTGGGGACAGAGTCGTTTGTCCTTTAGAGGGGGTGCACGCATGGCTGCAGACCATTGTATGATGTTTCTTCCCCAACACTCGCTGCAGTGCCTTTGTGCTCGCGGCAGGACGCTGCCTCACACCTGCCTTCTCTCCCGTGGCCAAGCCGTGCACCAGCTGCGGGGTGGGGCCCGAACTCTGCTAAACTCTGTTGCTTGTCTAGTTCAGTTGGCAGTTGAGGGTTAAGGGCTCTGTCTGCCAGTGAGAACCAGGGAGGGAACAGAATGGGTCACGTTGCCCCCGAGGTCTTAGCCTTTTTGTACCAAGGACCTTTCTGTAGTTTGGTGTCTTCCAGAAACATGTATGTCTTTTTTAAGACTATTTTTAGAGCAATTTTAAGTTTATAACAAAATTGAGAGGGAGGTATAGAGATTTTCCATGAATCCCCCTACCCCCACCCCCACACACAGCCTCTCCCCTTATCAATATCCCCCATCAGATGGGGACATTTGTCACCAAGGATGAACCTACTTTGACATGTTGTAAGCACCCAAAGTTCCTAGTTTCCCTTTGCATTCACTCTTGGTTCCTGTGTCTTGTGAAAATGTATTTTCTTAGTCAGTATGGTCATCTGGTCAACCTTGAACTCTACAGAAAGTGAGCCTGAATCACTAAAGAGATGTGGCTGTCCATGTCTGTCCTCAGAAGCACCGGTGGTCACCTGTGGCCATGCTTGGTCAGGGCGGTCTTCCTTGCCCTTGGGCAGTGTGAGCGCCTGGGGCCACAGGCACCTGTGCTGAGAGGTGGCCCCGCCGGCCTCGCTCCCTGGGTGCGCGCCCATCTTTTCAGTAGTTCATGCGATTGTGCTGAGAACTGCTTCCTGTTTTGCAGAAGTTACTCATGAGGTGCTTTCGGTGCTGGAAGAAGTGATGAAGAGATCCACTTTCGTGCTAAGGATCATGTTGCCGTATTGGGAAGTCGCGCTGATCAAGTTCAAGTCACACAGGTAACGGAGAGGTGGTGCTGCTCAGTGGCTGTGGACGTTTGGAGGCCAGTCCCCCCTCAGAGCCTCTGCCTGCAGGCACGTTTGCTGTCAGCACCTAATGAGTGGACGTGGGCACCTAATGGATGGACGTGGGCACCTAATGGATGGACGTGGGCTGCCTGGAGAGTAGATGCCTTCCTGTAACATAAAAGGTCTCTAGTTGTGTGTTAAGTATGGTGTGGTGGCTAAAGATCATTATTTTCTAGAATCAACTTTATAAAAATTACTGGGTTTTTACTGTGGGTGAAACCCTATGTCCAGTGTTAGTGAATCATGAAGCCAGGAGGCAGCCAGGTGATCTCGTCCTGAGGAGCAGGCATGTGCGTGTCAGGAGGCAGCAAGATGGTCTCGTCCTGAGGCGCAGGCGTGTGCGTGTCAGGAGGCAGCCAGGTGGTCTCGTCCTGAGGAGCAGGCGTGTGTGTGTCAGGAGGTGGCAGGTGGTCTCGTCCTGAGGCGCAGGCGTGTACGTGTTAGGAGGCAGCCAGGTGATCTCGTCCTGAGGAGCAGGCTTGAGCCCTTCAGGCTACATCTCCTGACCAGCAATTTGTAGACCTTGGGAACACGCTGGCCTCCTGGGGTCAGAGTGTTATTTGGAAAGGAGATGAATTAGGCAGATTTTGTGAGTTTCCACCAAGGCCTTAAAAATGGCTCATCAAACGTTGAACCCTGGGAAGTTGTTTTAAAATCACATCTCTAGTCTGATGAGACCTTGATTTTGTTTTTCTCTCATTTTAGCGAGTGATGTCCACCCTTCTTGCTCTGGACAAGGAGGTTGTGTCTGGACCCAGCACCCTGACTGAGGTGCCGGTGCCAGTGTGTACCCTACAGTGGGGGCTGTGCCCGTCTCCTCCCTCTCCACAGGTTTGCGGACTGTGCCATGTTGCTACTGACACAGCTGGAGACTGGGCTTCGGAACGTGTTTGCCACAGTTAACAAGTGTCCCCGAAGACTTCTGACGGCAGAGGTACACGTGCGTTCATGGCTGGCGGTGACGGTTTTGTTGCTGTGCTGACAGTCTTCTGTGCCTGATTAAGTGTTCTCAACATCTTATCTTTGTTTGCATTAAATGAACTTTTTAGCTAAGAACTTTCATTGGAAGGCTTAACTGCCATTTTTTGTGGCTTTCTATTATAATGATTTTAGAAGATTTATGTTTATTTATGATTGTTTTTCGTAGTTCTATAATATTTCCAAGTAGTCTTTTAAACTTATTGGGGTCATGAAAATAGTAACCACTCATTTTTTTGTTGCCATAATTGCTGGCATATCACTGTAACCCCACAAGGTGGTCTGTGGTCTAGAGCATGCACTCTCGTCAAGGACACTGCTTACTCTTGGCCAAATCTTAGTCACACCTAGCTGCGGGGAGGTTTGGCAATGTATCTGGGGTGCCATGTGCCCAGTTAACTACTGAAAGATCCATGAATAAGGAAAGAGAGACTATGTATTATAGGATGGACAGCAGCATCTGCCATGTCTTCTTTTCTCATTTCTTTCATGAATTCATCTTCCTCTTTTTGCACCTTTATGTTGACATTCCTCAAAATTCTGTTCTCAACCCTATCCTCTCTTTATATTTGCCCCTTGGGAGATCTCACACAATCCTATGCCTAACACTGTCACTACTGTGGGGACAAAAATTAGGAAACACTTGGGACCTAATGAAAATGAAAGCACAACATATCATAGGTTGTTGATGCAGCTAAAGCAGCTAAGAGGGCAATTCATAGCATTAGTTCCAGGAACACTAGGCATTGACTCTAACTCAGTTCTTTCATCTCCTGAGCTTGGTTTATACCTGTTTGCTGAATATCTTCATATGGGTTTTCCCCAGCATGTCAAACTTAACTTTATTTCAAAAAAGCATGTTTTTTCTCCCACAAATTCCTTATCCTTATACTCTCAGTTGCTTTGGCCCCAAACCTTAGGACTGTCCTGTGATTTATCTGTACTTTATTCTCCATGGCCACAGGGTGTCCAGCACTGGTCATTGGTTCTTCCTGTGATGTGTTTTGTGTTTCTTCTTTCAATCCTGAGGCCTCACCTGGCTCCTCATCACGCTCTCCTGAGCTCATCTCACAACCAACCTTCATGATGCTCTTCCTTCTCTGATATATTCTCACACTGCCACTGCTTGTTTTCTGAGCTGGTGAATATTCCTGTGTCTTCGTGTCCCCTCTACTTTACAGCCTTTAGTGGGGTCCCAGTGCCTGGCACACAGGGTCCTACACTTGGCGAGGCGGGTGAGGTGCTCACTGTTCGGCCCAGCCTTTCTCCAGTTTGCGCCCCCTATTTCTCCAGTATAATTCAGGCTCCTTGCCAGTCCCTGGACGTGTGTGTCTCCCCATTTGTTGCCCACTGTTCCTGCCTGACCAGTCATGCCGTGACCGTGGCCGCCCAGAGCCTGTCTGCACAGGTGACTGCTGCTGCACTCTCCTGCTGCTTGGTCCTGACCTCTGTAGAGGTCTCTGGGGCAGGTGTCCAGAGGGGCTTTGCATCTGTGCCCCTTGGTGCCCAGGGCCTTTCACAGCAGCTTTGCCGTCAGGGCTGTGACACCTCCGTCTTCCAGCTGAAGAGGCAGCACCTCGGTCGTCACAGCATCAGTACACTTGGTTACTCACTGTCATTTGACCACACGGATAAGTAGTGCGACTGTTTCCACAGACAGTGCAACTTACCCAGGAACGTCCCACATTCACGCCGAGGCTCTTATCTAGAAGGAACGTGGCGTCAGTTCACTTGTAAGGCAGCACCTAGGTGAGGACACTGCCCAACCAGGAAGTGCTGTGCAGAAGCTGTTATTGGCTGATGACACGGCCAAAGGTCTCTCCAAGATCAGTGGAAGATACGAAGATGAGTAGAAAGTTTGTGCATTAGGGTGAGAGCTGACGTGCACACCACTTACGTGGGTCAAGGTAGAAGTCAGTGCATGGGGTTTATGCAGGTAACTCCAAGTCTAGCTTTTTTCAGGAAATAGTGGTGTTCAGTAGGAAACTGGATATTTGGAATAGATCTCAGGAAACATTTTAGGATCTGCATACAGGTTTGGGAGCTAAAGATACAAATTCTAGAGTCATCTGCATAGTAACAAATGCTGAAGAACATTTGATAATATTGCGTTGAAAATACATTACTAAGCATTAATACGTAAGAACCGTGCTTGATAGACTGATTTCATCATGCTGTGTGGAACATCTTGCTGATTCCCAGCAGCCTTTGAGCTGACCGTCACTCACCTGTGTCGTGCAGAGACACCTGAGTGTGTGCAGGGAATGGGGTTGGAACGTCCCGGCCGGCCCAGAGCCTGGTCTGTGAACTGCTGCTCATACCAGGAAATGTGGACACAGGCTGTTTGTCGGAGAAAATACTCTGTTCTCACTTCATGCAAATGCCATGTCAGCAGCGTCCTGAGAGTGTGAGTGGGGGTTTGTGAAGTTACAGGGCCGTGGTGTGAGAAGTACCAGGTCAGCAGCTTGCCGGGCAGTCTTCTAACAGCCGGGTCATGTGCTTCTATGTCCCCGCGGTGTGTGGCCCATGTGGCCTTCCCGGAGTGTTGCTAGATGAAGCATTATTTTCAAAAGAAGTTTCTGTATTTGTTGGCATGAAAGATTTTTCCAGCTTTGAATAGTGTCATTCTGCTTGTATTTTGCTCTAATTATTTTTTTTCTTTCCTTTTCTGAAGTCAACAGCTCTTTATACCACCTTTGATGAAGTAAGTAAACTTAAACTTATATGGTATCTTGAAACAAAACAAAACACTGTATTCTTATAAAATTCAAAATTAGAGCCATAAGTCGCATGCTTACAGGAAAATGTTGATAGTCAGTAGTCATATAAGCCAAAAACAACTCTTACAGAATTGAATATAGTCTTATGGCTAATTAAGACTCAATATGATTAACCAAGTTTCTAAAGTTCTGGAGAGACCAAAGTTGGAAAATGCCAGGGGACACCAACAGTAAATGCTGTCACCATGCAGAACGGGTGGGGCACGCCTGGCCTGCAGGCTACTCATGGCCCTCGAAATCAGTACCAGCTCACATCACAGCCTCACCAAGTGAGCCTGACCAGATACAGCAGCTGTTGGTAGTTTTGTATGGCCCTCGAATGATGTAGGTTTCCCCATGGCCCTGCACAGAGTGAAGGTTCCCAGCCTTGGTTTAGAGGCGTGCATGTGAGGGTGAGGTTGGCGCCTACTGGTTTCGCACATGAAACATCGACGACTGTTATGAGTATGTAGTGCACACTGAGCATGTGATCTGCGTGTTTGGGGGTGAGGTTCTGAAGGTGAAAATCTGGAATAGTAAAAATTACATTGAAAGTATCTGTCATCACTCGTGGAGTGTAGAGGCTTGTGTGTGTTGTCCTGGGCAGTGACTGTCACAGACCCTGCTGTATGCAGGACACCACAAGTCTCCTGCAGAGAGGTGGGCATTCTGGCCATTCTGCCTGTAGAGGGAAAGATTCGTTCCTGAGTGGTGGGTGAACTAAGAGAGGCGCCTGCTCACCTGCAGAGCTGATGCCATCAGGTGAGAATTTGCAGCTGGGGGCTGAAGCAGGCGCACGGTCAGGTCTGTACAGGATTGGGTCACAGGGTGGGCAGTGCTGGGCTCCAGTGCTGGTGAGCTGAGTGGCTCACGAAGGAACTGGGGTCGATGCTGAGCACACACACACACACATGTTTATATATGAATAGAAACATACACACAGACACATATGTAAGTATACACAAACACAAACTTGTATACATATAAACATGCACATGCTGAAACATACATGCACAAGTATGCATAAACATACCCGCATACATATAAACACGTACAAACACGTGCACACGTAGAGATATACATAAACATGCATGTGTACATATAAACACATACAGACATGTGCATATATACAAGTATACAGAAACACGTATACATATAAGCATATACAGATACATGCATATATACAAGTATAAACACATACATGTATATATATAAACAAATATACACATACACACATACAAGTACACATAAACATGCACGTGTACATATAAATTCAGACACATATATGCACACTTATGCACATATCCAGATACACACACGTGCACACACACAGTTGAGAAGACACATACAACTAAGGTCATTAAGGCTGGGAAAGTCCTCCTGAACTGGTGGTGGTCTCCTTGGCAACTGCCCTTATTTCCTCCAGTGGCGTGGGGCTTATTTAACCATTCAGAGCAGAAGACCGTATGCTTGGACGCTGAAAGTTCTGTGTGCGTATGTGCACCAGTTAACGTATTTATTTGTGGTGTTTTAGATATTGGCAAAGCACTTGAACGATGGTGAAATCAATCAACTTCCTCCTTTCCTGGGAGAGCCTGCCATGGTACAGTATTGGGTCTTTTCCAACCTAGTATTCTTGCGTTTGTGTGTGTGGTTAGCACCTCTCTAAAGTGGCATCAGTTTTGGCCTGAGAGGCTCGAAGAGAGGGCTTCTGAGCCACCCGCACACTGTCTCATCTCGTCTCTGCAGCGGACGTGCCGAGTGCGACCCTGCTCGGGTCCTGTGCAGCTCGGTATTCAGAGCCCTTCTCGGGCCCCATGATCTCGGCCCTGTTCCCGGGCAGACTGTGTACTTGCTGGTGATACGCAGGTGCTGGTAGAAGGGACTGTGTTTGCTCTGGGAGCTGCAGCGACCACCAAATGAGACCAGTGTGTGTTGGATGGAAAGGGAATGAGTGAGTGTTCAGAGCCATTTTCTGTTTACCACTTTTTGGTATTTTATCAAGATATTGCAATGACTATTTTGGACTATAAATAGAAGTTCTGTATTTATTCCTTCTGACTGGAGTTGGCCAACCCAAGATTCTGGTTCCTGTTGTGTTGGATCCCACACACTGGGCCTCCATTCTTCCATCAGGAAATTAGGACGATGTGCTCATTTGTCTAGTATGCTTCTCCATCTGAAATCTGTGACTCTTCCGCCTATCAGCAGTTTGCCTGGGTCAGCGGTTTTCTGACCCTTTCCCCTCTAACCTGCGGGGCAGACCCAGGACTTGAGCTGTTTAGAGAAAAGCGGCTGCCTTCGTCGGGCTTCAAAGATGAAGGGAGGGCGTCCGAGAAGGAGAGGCACGAGGAGACAGGAGCACAGCAGGTCCTTTCGTTCCCTGGAAGGTTGGCTCCCAGAGGAAGGCACAGGCTCTCTTCCTTGCAGGAGGGGAGAGTAGGAGCAGGTGAAGTTCACTGCACTGGACCCGTCCACGCAGCTCTGCCGTCGGGCTCAGACCCCAGGGCGCTCAGTTCCCTCAGTCAGGCCCCAGGAAGCAGGGTGCATTCCAAACGGGTTCCCAGGAGAGTCCTGCCTGCGGCAGTGAGGTGCATTTAGAACAGGGGTTCTGACAAGGGTTCTGCTTGGTGCATTGTATGGCCTTGAACTCAGTCTCTTTGAGGCCCACCGCCTTGGTCTGTAGATGAACACGGTGCTCCTTAAACATGTCAGGCCGGGGCCTTGGCTCTTTCCTTCCCTCTGCTGAGGATGCTAACAAAGTATTTTCTCTGTGTATTTTCTGAAAGGAATTTCTCTGGGACTTCCTGAACCATCAGGAAGGTCCTCGTGTAAGAGATCATCTAAGCCACGGGGAAGTCAACTTACCCGAATTTCCAAAAGGAGTGACAGGCCAGCTGCTGGCCTTTTCCGTTGTGCTTTTACTGAGATTCGCCGATGGAGAGCTGGCGTCCGTGTTCAAGGTACCGCACAGGGAAGAAGGCGACGGGCCGGACACTGTCATTGGGCTATGAAAGGATGCAGCGTGTTTCAAAATGTAACGAACTGTTACTCATTTTTTGCTTAATGTGTGATTTATAGCCTGCTTCCATGAGGACAGATGATTGTGAATTGATTGCATGTATGCATGTGTTCTCTGTAACTCTGAAGTAATTTAACCCGTTTCTTGAGAACACATTTGTGTGGGGAATTGTGAACCGAAGAACCAAAGAGTATAAAAGGGTTAACTAGATGTGATGGAGGTTTTTATAGGTGTCTACATTGTTGGTGCAACATTTGTATCTATCAGTAAACTGGTTTTTATTACATCAAAGTAATCCAGGTTACAATGTTTGTTACTGATACTTAATCTTTTTTCAGATTGTGCATGTAACAATTATTATTATTGAAGTTGTTTAAAACTTTATCAAAGTAGAAAAGTTAATGTAGAAAGTGAAAGTCAGGAATTTCGTGTAAAACAGGTTGGAATGAGCTCCCGATGGCTTCATCTTGGATAAGTGACAGTTTTTACATCATCGGATCTTGCTTTTCATCACAGCATGTGCTTGACCAGGCCCTTCCTGTCCGCCTCCCGCCTGAGAGGCAGCAGCATCCCCCCAGGAGGCTGTCAGGCCCAGGCTGGGCCTCCTCCCTCCTCCTCCACCTTCCACATCTAGTCCTCTGCTGAGACAAGATGTCCCGTCTGCGTCTGCCCACTCCTGTGCTGCCTCCCTGCAGACCCCTCACCTTTCCCCTGGAGAATCTGGGCTCTCAGGGCTCCCCAGTCGCTCTGCTCTCAGCACAGCCGGCCACGGGGCTTCAGGTGTCCTCCCCGCTCCAGAGCCGCCAGCGTGTCTCCCTCCAGCAGGAACCATGTGCCCAGGTCACCACCCTTCCCCACAGGGGTCTCGCTGCCCCACGAGACCTTGGAACCCCTGAGGGTGTGTTTTCGTCTGCTTTTTGGTATGAGGCTGAAGACACTCCCTGCTGTGCAGGTCTTAGGGATTTGAGTAAATGAAAAGTTAAGTCTTCTTCAATTCACGTTTAGCTGCTTTAATTATGAGTGTTGTGCTGCTGGGAATTCTGGGTACTTACCGATCACATGTCGGAAACCTAGTGAGATTTGTCAGTTGTCAACTCGCTGACTTTTCTTTCTGTTCTATTAACTCTTAGTCAGCTGACTTGGATTTTTCGGTTACAGTTTCTGTTACAGTTCTATCAGCTGTAAACAATGATGTTATTACTTTTCTTTTCGATTTCTATGTGTTTAGCAATTACATGTTCACAGTTGTGTAATTCTCTGTCAGTTATAGTGATTTTTTTAAAAATTGATTTTAGAGAGAGGGAGAGGGAGAAAGAGAGAAACATGGATGAGAGAGAACATCGATTGGCCGCCTCCTGCACGCCCCCCACTGGGGATCCGGCCCACAACCTGGGCATGTGCCCTGACTGGGAATTGAACCGGCGACCTCTTGGTGTAGGGTCGACGCTCAACCACTGAGCCACACCGGCTGTGCTAGTTATATTGATTTTTAATGTTTAGCTAGATTCTATTTTTAAGATGAACCTCTTACAATTTCCAAATGTTTGGAATCTTATTTATTTCTAGTTATGTTGCATTGTGGACAAGATTGAACGTGGCCTCTTTAATTATCGTTGTTGATCAGCTTCACTGAAAATCATTTTGTTGGTTATGATTTGACTACTGTCTCAAACCTGTTCTCAGGAAGAGTTCTGCTTGGTTTCAGCTGAATGGGATTCTGGGAGGGAAGCGAGGAGAAACCGGGACGCGTGTGTGACTTAAAGATCAACAGAAGGAAGGCAGAGCCTCACCCAAGTCGCAGTGACTTACACGTGTTTCCTCTGACCTAGGAGAGAGCAGCGATACAGCCCTTGGTCGTCCTCGCACAAGGCTACAGCGCCCGCTTCCATCCCGTCGCTCTGGCTAGGAAGCAGGTGCGCTGCTGGGCCGCGCGGAGGGAGGTGTGGGTCTGCCCTCTGCTGAGGTCGAGGTCAGGGCTCTCGTCAAGGGGACGTCGGCGGATCTTGCTTTCCAACCACAGTGCGTTGCTCGGGTGCGCGTCCCCGGAGGTGCCTCGGGCGCGCGTCCTTGGCCAAGGTCTCAGTCTCCCTGAGCCTCAGGGCTGTGTGCAGCAGCGGGAGGAAGGTGGTGTGTTCGGTCAGGTGTTTTCTGTGCTAAGAGGGTGACCACTGGGAAGTGCCTAACAGGCTGTTATTGTCGTTGACCCAGGACTTAACAGTTTCTGCTTGTCCGTGATGAAGGATGTGTTTTCTCAACCAGCTTTTGTTAACTTAGAAATTAAAGCAAATAACAAACATTTCAGCATTCCTGCCTGGAAGTTCCAGTTTGGTACTTTATTCTACGTGTTGTAGGATGTGCAGGTGGTCTAAGGGGGCAGAAACGCGGCTGTGCCCAAGCGTGTGATAATCACAGTAGTTGCTGACTTAGAAATGCATTGGTGGCCCGGCCGGTGCGGCTCGGTGGTTGAGCACCGTCCCGTGCACCTGGAGTCCCGGTTCAGCTCCAGGTCAGGGCATGTGCCCAGGTTGCAGGCTTGATCCCCGGTGGGGGGCGTGCAGGAGGCAGCTGATCAATGTTCTCTCTCATCGATGCTTCTGTCACTCTCTCCCCCTCTCTCTAAAATGAATAAAAACATATTTAAAATAACAGTAATCATTGCCGAGACTGCCCTTTGCAGAAACGTCAGAGTCCGCCCGTGAGGTCAGGGACACTCTGCAAAGCCAGGAGGGAGATGGTGTCCTGAGACCAGGCCTGGTAACCGCCTGAGAAAAGGGAAACTAGTTGAAAGGGGTTCTCAGTGGATGTGCAAAGAGAACCCTGAAGTGGGGCCGTCCTGTGTTGTCTGAGAGGTGTCAGCCCGCATGTGTGCCGAGGCCTCGAGGGCCAGTGCGAATCTGTGTCTTCCAGGGACACACGTCACCGCAGGGAGGGCACCAGCACTTGCCTGCAGGTCTAAGCTTAGAGAAGCTGGTTGGGAGAGAGGAGCCTCCAGGGAGGAAGTTTCCGGAAGGACGAGGGGCTGCAGGATGGAGGGTGTGTCTTCCAGCCTGACCAGGCCTTTTGTTGCAGCTGCTGTCCCCGCCCTCGGCCACCACACCTCCCCGCCCACCGTGGACATCTCAGCCTTCCTGTGGCCCCTTCCCGTCTGTCCCCCCTTTACTCAGTGGGTGGCCTGCATCCTGTGCCGTTTAGAATGACGCTCAGGTTGTGCTGCACAGCCAGGTGCCCACGTCCATGGTGTCAGCAGCAGCAGCCACTTAATTTCCCTGCGCGTTTCTTTTCTATCCTCACCCTGGGATGTTATTATACTTTCAGAGAGAGGAAAGGGAGAGCGAGAGAAAGAGAAACATTGATAGGTTGCCTTCTGAACACTCCCCGACTTGGACTGAACCCACAACCTAGGCATCAGCCCTGATTGGGAATTGAACCCGAAACCTTTTGGTGTATATGGGACAACACTCAACGAGCTGGGCCACCCGGCTGGGGCCTCCTCACACTTCTGTGGGTGAGACATTTTGGACCTTCTGTGGGGCCAGTCCATCTGATAGAAACGGGGGGTGGGCGTTGGGCTGGGCTGCTGAGGCCTCCGTGTGCTCACCCAGAGCGTGGGGCCCACCCCGCCCCGGAGAAGCACCTCCTTTTCTAACTTGGCCTGGAAAGCCACCCAGTGGCCTCGTCTCCTCTGCAGTCTGGGCCCCAAGTCCTGACTGGAGCGCAGGTGAGGATTTTCAGAGGCGCCTCACAGCAGCTCCAGACAGTCTACCCACTGACCCCTGGTGGTCTTTCTGTGTCTCCTTATAATGAGTAGCTGATGCCACCATGTGGTTTTCAAATGTAACATCTGTAACAATGTCACAAACAGTCTTCCAGAAAGTGATTGCCACATTTGTAACAACTTAAAAACATTTCCCAGGACTTTATTGTAAAACCTTTAGAAGCAGTAGACCTTTTTCTCCCAGGTGCTGAGCTGTGAGAAGAGCATCCGGCTTTGGCCTCTGCTGCCTTTGCCAGAAGAAGCTGCACAGGAAGCAGCCAGGTGAGCTCCCTCCCGGTTGTGCGGCCCTCCCGTCGTGTCAACAAGGCCATGGGCGAGGAGATGCCAGGGGGATGCTGGGCTTGGTGACCAGTAGACGAGGAGATGCCAGGGGGATGCAGGGCTTGGTGACCAGTAGACGAGGAGATGCCAGGGGGATGCTGGGCTTGGTGACCAGTAGACGAGGAGATGCCAGGGGGGATGCTGGGCTTGGTGACCAGTGGGTGAGGAGATGCCAGGGGGATGCTGGTCTTGGTGACCAGTGGACGAGGAGATGCCAGGGGGGATGCTGGTCTTGGTGACCAGTGGGCGAGGAGATGCCAGGGGGGATGCTGGTCTTGGTGACCAGTAGACGAGGAGATGCCAGGGGGGATGCTGGTCTTGGTGACCAGTAGACGAGGAGATGCCAGGGGGATGCTGGTCTTGGTGACCAGTAGACGAGGAGATGCCAGGGGGGATGCTGGTCTTGGTGACCAGTAGACGAGGAGATGCCAGGGGGGATGCTGGTCTTGGTGACCAGTAGACGAGGAGATGCCAGGGGGATGCAGGGCTTGGTGACCAGTAGACGAGGAGATGCCAGGGGGGATGCTGGTCTTGGTGACCAGTAGGCGAGGAGATGCCAGGGGGGATGCTGGCTTGGTGACCAGTAGACGAGGAGATGCCAGGGGGATGCTGGTCTTGGTGACCAGTGGACGAGGAGATGCCAGGGGGGATGCTGGTCTTGGTGACCAGTAGACGAGGAGATGCCAGGGGGATGCAGGGCTTGGTGACCAGTAGACGAGGAGATGCCAGGGGGGATGCTGGTCTTGGTGACCAGTAGGCGAGGAGATGCCAGGGGGGATGCTGGTCTTGGTGACCAGTAGACGAGGAGATGCCAGGGGGGATGCTGGTCTTGGTGACCAGTGGGCGAGGAGATGGCAGGGGGGATGCTGGTCTTGGTGACCAGTAGGTGAGGAGATGCCAGGGGGGATGCTGGGCTTGGTGACCAGTAGACGAGGAGATGCCAGGGGGATGCTGGTCTTGGTGACCAGTAGGCGAGGAGATGCCAGGGGGGATGCTGGGCTTGGTGACCAGTAGACGAGGAGATGCCAGGGGGATGCTGGTCTTGGTGACCAGTGGGCGAGGAGATGGCAGGGGGGATGCTGGTCTTGGTGACCAGTAGACGAGGAGATGCCAGGGGGATGCAGGGCTTGGTGACCAGTAGACGAGGAGATGCCAGGGGGATGCTGGTCTTGGTGACCAGTGGGCGAGGAGATGGCAGGGGGGATGCTGGTCTTGGTGACCAGTAGACGAGGAGATGCCAGGGGGATGCAGGGCTTGGTGACCAGTGGGCGAGGAGATGCCAGGGGGATGCTGGTCTTGGTGACCAGTAGACGAGGAGATGCCAGGGGGATGCTGGTCTTGGTGACCAGTAGACGAGGAGATGCCAGGGGGATGCTGGGCTTGGTGAGCCGTGGAGCTGGGGATGAAGGGGAGGAGTGGTAATCCCCCAGCTCAGGGCTCGGGCGTGGGAGGGTGTGTGCAGAGACATGGAACGTCCACTGGGACTATTTCCTGGGCAGTGGGAAGGGGCCTGACTCTCAGGAGAGAAGTGGGAACAACGCTGGGATCCCGGACTCAGCAGACAGCCCACATTCGTCAGCAAGCACGTCGCTGTCAGCCGGGTGCCACTGGCTGTTCCCACCCTCACCAAGGACGTGTTTGTTCTTGCACTGATTTTAGAGAGGGAAGTCGGGGAGAGGGAAACACTGGTAGGTTGCCTCCCGTATGCACCCTGACGGGAGGTTGAACTGCCACCTGGGCATGGTCCTGACCGGGAATGCAGCCCGGGACCCGCTGGTGCACCGGACAGCGCTCAGCCGAGGAGCGTCACGGGCCGGGGCACAGCTGGCGTTTACCGCAGCCTCCGGCGGCCTTTCCCTTCACGCCCGGGGAAGGGGGTCTTCTGAGGAAGTGCTTTGCTCGGTGACCAGGCACACGGCTGTTACTGCTGACGAGCGTCGTCTTCATTGTCGTGTACACGCAGATGTTTTCCCCTTTTCAGGTTGGAAGGTGATCACGAAACAAACGCCTGCAACTCTTTAATGACAAAGGTCGCGCGTGGGCTGTGTCAGTACCTCCCTGAGGACCCCTGTGTGCTCAGCGGCTTGGATGACCTTCCTATCGAAAGGTAGGTTCCATCCTGAAAGTCGTTAGAACGGTGGAGGAAGTCGGGATCGCAGACTCAGCTGTTTCCCGTTAACGCTCTGTGAGCGTGCTGGCGGCGTCAGAGCCACGGCTGCTCTCCGAGAGGCGCTGTCAGAGGAGCTCGCTGCCCCGGCCGAGCCTGCACAGGCTGAACACCTGCCACGTTCAACGACTGCTCGTGGCCCAAACGGACCGCGAGCTGGCCGTGCTCACCGGACCTGGTGGAGCAGGCCCGAGTGCGGGCGCCACAGGAGGACGGTGGGGGAACATGCCCCGGCCGTGCTCTCATCCACAGGTGGCCCCGGCTGCTCCCCGGACTCTGCAGCATCCGCGTCCCGACCCTGTTCTGTCCCAGAGCCGTTCTGGAAGTGCTGTCCGTGCTCAGGAGCATCAGCCGCTGCTGCGCCCGGGTGTCCCTGCAGGTGGCCGCCTCCCTGGAGCTGCGGCGCCAGCAGTGGGAGGCGAGGACACTGCGCTCCCGGCAGAGGCGGAACTTCCTGCGCATGCTGAGCAGGTGCGGCTCGCCCGGTTTCGGAGGGAGCGCTGGGGCGCGGGGTCTGCATGCAGTTCTGATTCCTGCTTCCAGAGAGACGCTCGCTTAACTGCGATTTCAGCATGTGGGGATGTGGGCCTGCCACCCCGACAGGCGTGCTCCCCACGCAGCAGCGGGTGGCCTGGGGCAGCTTCTCCCGCGTGTCGTGTTCTGGAACCGCTTGTCCTCGGGGAGTCGCCGCTGGGACAGGTGCCTGGACCTCGGAGTTGAGTGGCTGCTTCTGAAACTGACTCCCGGTCGGCACGCTTCCCGGTCACCTCACCTCCCCCCGGACAGCACTGCCCACACTCGTACCAGTTTCATGGGACCGAATCCCACTTCAGTGGGAACCTCTGTGTGTCCCAGAGGCTTTGGACACATCTTCATGCATCTCATGTTGAAGCCACTTCTGTTGCTCTTCCCGGGAGAGTCTCACTGTCAGGTGCTAGGAGACCTGGTGTGAAGAGCAGGGACGTCGGGAGGGCTGGGCACCGGGTCCTCGGCGCTGAGGGCAGGGCCGGCGCTGCTGCTGCCCTGGAGGGAGGCGAGGAGGGCGGGCCCGGCCGCAGGCACTGGGCTCCCGGGGTCTTCCTAGCTCAGCCAGCTGCCCGTTTGGGCACAGCCGTGGCCAGGCCTCTGTGGTGGGAGCAGCTGTGGGGGGGTGGTCTCGGGAGAAGTGTGGATTCCAGGGGTCTCGGGAAAGGGCTGGTCAGGTAGAACACCGTTTTCCTCATGAAATGGAAAATACTTTGTTTAACAAACTTTAATTTATGTAACGTCTGTTTTAGTGTTAAGCTTCTGTCTCCTGTGCTCTCCCTGGTTTTGCTGCTGATTGCGCTGGAATTGGTCAACATTCACGCGGTTCGTGGGAAGAGCGCTCACGGATACCAGCAGTACCTGAAGTGAGTGTGGGGCTCTGGGGGGCGACGCTGTTTTCTCTGGTGATTTTTATTTTATTTTCTTCATTGGTGTTAGGGAGAGAGGAAGGGAGAGGGAGAGAGAGAGAAACATGGATGAGAGGGAACGCCAACTGGCCGCCTCCTGCACGCCCCCCTCTGGGGATCAGGCCCACAACCTGCGCGTGTGCCCTGACTGGGAATCGAACCGGCGACCTCTTGGTGCAGGGTCGACGCTCAACCACTGAGCTACACCAGCCGGGCTGTTTGGTGATTTTTGAAACCCCACAGCCTGCTTGGACCCCACTGCTCTTTGTGGGCTTCAGAGGAGCCTGCACCTTTAAGCTGCCCCTGGGGTGTGGTGTGGGCACCATTCAGGAAGGTCACGTGGTTGACCTGAAGCCGCTCTGCAGCACCCAGAGGAGGGGGCTGACGAGCAGGTGTTCAGGGGGTCGTGGTGTGGACCCCCGAGTCGTGGCCCCGGCTCAGAGCAGGGGAACACGTGTGCTCCTGACACGCAGAGACCCCACGGAGGTGACCCTTGCGCAGGGCTGCCGTGTGTGCTTGCCGCTGCCCAGGGCCCGCTGGCCACTTGCTCCTGGGAGCCCCTCGCTCCTGGGCTCTGAGCTCTGCAGGCGCCTCAGTGCGAGTCAGAGAACCTGAGGGCGTGGGGCTGGCACGTGGCTCAAGGTCCAGACGGGGCGAGGACGCCACGTCCGCCACGGTCACTCTTTCTCATCTAGTCAGGCGTCTCGGCCTCCACAGCGCTGATGCTCTGAGCTGGGCGGTTGTGATGGGGCCGTCCCGTGCCCGGCGGGGGCTCAGGGTGGGGCTGTCCCGTGCCCGGCGGGGGCTCAGGGTGGGGCCGTCCCGTGCCCGGCGGGGGCTCAGGATGGGGCCGTCCCGTGCTTGATCGGGGATTGTGGGGCCAATTTAAACGTTGGGGAAAATGTCAGACTGTCTGGGAACTTGGAGAACCCAGAGATGTAGGGCAGCATTGCCACCGGTCAGAGAGGACCCTCTGAGCACTTGAGTGTCCTTGGGGAGAGACACCAGGAGCAGGAGCTGTCTTGCGGTGAGTGTCCAACATGACGGAGCAGGCGGACAGGAGGCCCCCGTAGGCCGGCCCCTCCGTCACCTCACTGCGGTGTCATGGTGTGGCTGTGGCCCAGGGCCTGGGGATCCTTCTGGCAGTTCAGGTCCATCCTGCACTGTGTCCTGGGTGGATCTGAGAGCGAGTCAACGAGCCTGAGGCCCTGGCCGGGAAGCTCCGGTATCACTCGTGCACCGGAAGGCATTAGGCTGATTCCCCGTCAGCGCACCGACCCAGGTTGTGGGTTCGATCCCCGGTTGGGGCACCTGTGGAAGGCAGCCGATGGGTGTTTCTCTCCCTCCCACCCCCCGCCCCAGCGACAGTGAGTCTCAGCATCTCTGTCACGTGACTTGTGCAGTTTCCAGCTTGTGACTTTTCCTTGAATCACAGGCAGAGTAAGCTCAGCCCCTGGTTGTGATTCCAGGATAGAAAAGATGTGAATCGTCGCGTTTTCCCGGGGTGCAGACACGACACTGATCTCCCACAGGTTCCTGAGGGCCGTCCTGCAGTGGGCGGAGAACCTGGCGGCCTGCACCAGCCCCGACAGGAACCAGTGGGGCGAGGTGCCCGGGCTCACGCGCGCTGCCCTGCTGAGGGTCTGGGCTTTCACCGAGAAGCAGCAAATGTTACTTCATTCGGCCAGGAGCGCCGAGTAGACAGCCCTGGACACACAGGCCACCTCGGCCACATCGGGAGGGGCTCCCATAGAGTGCGAGTGGGGATCCGAGGAGGGGCGGCCCGGGGCCCCCGAGCATGCAGCCTGTCCCCAGGCCGCATGGTGGACACACGTTCCGTTCGTGTTCCCTGTCTCGTGGCTGATATTTCGGATAAAGTGGCAGCACCGGATTCCTTTACTCCGAAGATATTACCTGTAACTGACAGCCGCTCTGTGGAGAGTCACCCTGAACCCTGGCGAGCATTCTTCCCTCCACCCGCAGCGCCCACTGGTAGGTCCCGAGCTAGTGTTGGTTACAAAACATCATTTTACTGTGTTGGTGGATATAAAACATCATTTTACTACGTTGGTGGATATAAAATACTATTTTTGCTACACTGTCTGTATTATTTGTTGTTTTTCTCTGAAGAACACTCTCCGGCTCCGCGGTGGTCTCGAGCCAGCACCAAGCCCTCCTTTGCCGCCAGCACGTCAGACGTGGGCAGGGGTGGGGGTGCCGTTCCCAGGCGACAGGCCCTTGGCATGCTGGCTGCTGGACACGACCGAAGGCTTCTGTCAGTGGGGGTGTCCCGGCTCGTTCCGCGTGACTGCGCACGCTCAGAGCGGCGCCTGTGGTCTGTGCGCGAAGGTGAGCAGGGGCCGCCCGACCTCCAGACGAGCAGTCAGCACACCGCGCCGGCAGGTCCGGTCAGTCCTGGAAGCACGGCAGGTGGGAGAAGGGCTGGACGGCTGGACGGCCTCACTCCGCCGGCTCTGCAAAAGCACGGCCCTGGCCAGAGAGCCGGCCAGTGTGCTGGTCCAGGCGCATCGTGGCGGCTCGTCCCCGTCCCCGTCCCCGTCCCCGTCCCCGTCCCCGTCCTCGTCCCCATCCCCGTCCTTGTCCTCGTCCCCGTCCGCTCTGTCCAAGCGCCTGGCAAGTGGGCCCTGAGCTCCCGCTGTCTGCCCTCTGGACACAGCGGCCGGCCAGTGGGGACACCTGCTGGCGAGCCTGCCCGGAGGCCGGCCAGTGGGTCACTAGAAGGGGAGCAGGCAGCACGGGCCCTCCGGCCCTCAGAGCCATGCCCACGAGCAGGGCTGCAGCAGCCGGCAGGCGAGGAGACGGGCCAGGGGGCGTGCGGCTGGGGTTCGGGGGAGGAGGTGGAGGGAGAGAAGGCAGCACGGGGGAGGGGAGGGCGGGGACCTGGGGACCCTCCAGGTGAAGACGAGGAAAAGCAGCTGAGCCTTGAGCCACCTCTGAGGTTCTGGAGTTGGTCAGCCTCTCCTGGTCCCCTCGGGGGGTTCTTTCAACCAGCACTTCAGGCTGCTCACAGCCAACAGGCCCTGGGCCTGGAGGGGCCGAGGGGGAGACGGCCACGCGGCCGTCGGGGGGACAGCCTGGGAGAAGGGACGCAAGGTTAGACCGGCTGGGCGCTGGGCACAGGGCCTGGGCACACCCTCCCTGAGGTCCTGGCTCCAGTCTCCTGCCACTTGGTGACGAGTTTCTCGTGCCCTCGCCCCTTGAGGTCTCCCACCAGGAAGCGTCCGTAGTGTTGCCCCTATGGAGACTGCGGGGGGGCTGGAAGCAGCCGGCTTCCCACCAGCAGGAGCCCAGACCTCCCTGCTGCTCCGAGAGGAAGGGAACTTGGGTTTGCTCCCTGAGGTTCAGCGGTGTCTGAGCACACTGGGCGCACGCAGGAGGCCACAGGCAGGTCCCCGCCTGGTCTCAGAGCGGCTGCCAAGCTCCGGGTCGGGGAGCCGTGGCCGTGGGCAGGCCTTTCTGTCTCAGGGCGGAGGGCGGCGGTGGTTCCACCCGCCCCTCGCGGCAGGCGTCCGGAGTGTGCGGTGCACCCCAGGAGAGGGTGTCCAGATGCAGCAGCTGCTCAGTGAGCTACCCCTGCAGGTAAACCCGGGACCTCCAGAGCCATGTGCCTTCTGTGGGTGCCGCTGGGCTCCGGGGCGCACTTCCTCGGCGAGCCGCTGGGTGGCGCCCTTGGGTAAGGCACAGCGCTGGCCTGACCCTGGTCGGCTGTGACCAGGATCAAAGCCAGCAGCAGGGAGCGGCTGTGTGGTCCCGGGCCCTGGGCAGCCCTTCCTCCTTCCCGGGCTGACCGCAGGGAGACTGTGCTAGAGGGCCAGGGAGAACACCGCGAGCCAGCGTCGCAGAGGTGGGAACCGGGCAGCGCAGGGCAGGACCCTCCCTGTGGAGAGACCGAGCGGGGCCTGCGGAGGGGAGTCCAGCTGTGGGGATGCCTCTGACGACCCTTCCCATCACCCGGGGTCACCCCGAACCCACCTGCCTGCCCGCTGGAGGGTGCTCCGGGGAGACAGAGTCGTCACGAAACGGAGTCACCGTCTGCTCGACGTCCCCTGAGTGTCTCCTGACACCTGGTGCACGGCTGAGCTGTGAGCCCCCGGGGACCGGAGACAGTCCCGAGCGGGCGTTCACCTGGTGCACGGCTGAGCTGTGAGCCCCCGGGGACCGGAGACAGTCCCGAGCGGGCGTTCACCTGGGCTGTGGGCAGTAGGTCGAAGGCGAAACCCTGCCTTCATCCAACAAGACGCGGGACGAACACAGGAGGTCTTTCCACACGTCAGTTAATTTCTTTAAGAGAAGAAGCTGGTCCTGAAACAGCCCGCACCCAGGGCCGGCAGGGAGACTTCTCGCTGCGCAAACCCCTTCTCAAAGCTGGGTGCCACGCCCGAGGCTCACTCTGCAAATACGCCAGCAGATGGCATCCTAACCCTCTGAGGGCGAGGGGCTAGGGCAGGGCCGCCTCCCCTCCGAGGGAGGGAGCAGAGCGGGTGGCTTGTCCTCAGCTGGGTTCTCACCTTGGTAGGTGCTGGGCGCTGGGCGCTGGGCGCTGGGTGCTGGGTGCCAGGCACCGGGCAGTGGTTCCTGGGAGAAGTGGCCGCAGGCTGCACTCTGAGCCCCGAGGCTGTTCTGTCAGCCGCACAGTCACCCCTCTGCTGTGACAGTGGGCAGGTGGGTCATCCCGACGGGCGTGGTCTCAGGCACCAGTCCTCACCGCAGCCTTGAGGAGGAGGCTCGGCCATTTCCAGGAGGAGGAGGAGGAGGAGGAGGTGGCGGGCTCTGGGCCGGCGGCGTGGGCGGCCTTCCCCGACCTGCATCACCTGCGTGGTTCTGGGAGACTGGATGGGAGCCAGCTGCTGGGTGCCCCCTGGGGGTGGACACTTCCTTCCACCCCAGCCTGTGCTCTGCTGAGACCTCCGAGGAGCTCAGACTCCTTCCCACCTGCCTCCGTGGCCTCTCATCCAGCCCCCGAGGGAATGTTTCTCAGAACCTGCCCCGTGAGGGAGGGCGACCCTCCCACGTCCCTTTTTTAAGATGTGACGTTGCTCTAAATTTCAGAGGGTCGGACAACAAAGACGCCCCAGGAGCCTCCCTGGCATGAACAGGTTGCTGGTGTGGTCAGCGCGCTGGGTCCCGATTCCTGCGTTTCCGATCTCGTTTCTGTGCTTCCCGGTAACAGTTGATCATTCTGTTTTCTGGTTTGGATGAAAGTTGTGTCGTGATGGACATAATCAGAAAGCAAATACGTCACTTGGGCGAGACACTGCGCCGGGGAGTCCGTGGGCATCTCTGGGAGGCCGGGTGCCGCAGAGGAGGCCGCGGGAGGTGCTGACCTGGAGGGCCCAGAGCAGGCGGAACGGAAGCCGCGGGTGCTTGGGCTGAGATGTCTGGGGGCCTCCACCGCCCCTCCAGGTTCTCTCCCCTCCCCTGGTGCACTGGGCTGGGGCTGGGGGTCCCAACAAGAGGGGAGAGGACGGACTCCTCGGGGAAACAGCATTCTGCAGCCTGATCACTAAAAAGACAACAACAAAATAAAGAAGGTTGAGAAGAAGGTAACAGGAGAGGCCCAGGGAGTTTGAAGAAGGACATGACCCCGAAACCTGACGGGATGAGGCCTGAGAGAGCCCTGGGCTCTGGCAGTCAGAGGTCATGCTGAGCAAGAGGGTACAGGACCAGACTGTGCCCCTGACCCCCACTGCCCTCTGGGAGCCAGAGTCCGGGGGAATGGGCAGATTGCCGGCAGGCGCCCCCAGGCCAGCGAGGACCAGACAGGTGCAGGGGCCTGATCACCTGAGCAGAGACTCAATGCAGATACATGTGCAGGAAGTAGCTAAATGGACAAGATTAGGAGAGAGCTGGTTTTCAAGGCGCAGGGATGGGGGAAGGGAGGGTGGGAACATGGGGGGGGGGGCACCAGGTGAGGCTCGGCTCCAGGAGGACGGCCTGGGGGGCTGTGTGGTCTGCGCAGCTCAGGAGGGAGAAGAACATCGATTACCTGGGAGTGGGGGTGCTGGCCTGTGTACCCAGGGCAGGTGCGGGCCGGCCAGCGGCAGCCCATTTGCTCCGGGGTGCTCATCCCCGGGGAGCAGCACCTAGAGGGCGGGAGGCGCCGCGTCCCGCAGGCGGGCAAATGGGGCAGCACTGCCTGCTTTGAAGTCTGGCCGCGTCCAGATGGTCACCGGACGGCCTGCCACCTCGGTGTCTCTATTCACACGTCCGGGTCCTGGCAGCCCCCCCCCCCCGCCCCTGCCCAGGGCCTCTGCTTGGCAGGAATCCTGGCGCGAGCCCTGCCTTCTGCCTCCACCTAACGACAGGCGAGCACGAAGTCAAGACTGAGACGCTGCACCACCCAGGAGCCGTCCCGGGTCTCCGCTCCTGCAAGGTGTCGCCCTGAACATCGCTGACCGGCCACATCCTCCCTCCCGAGAGGACCCTGGCCAGGCCGCGTTCCACTCCGTGTCCTGGTTTTTGCCACCGCGAAGGTCCCCACCTCCGCCCACCGCCCCGAGTTTCAGGCGGATTCTGACATCCAGAGCCCCAGGCAGCCTCGGCTCCTCCCCTCTCCTGCGCCGGGCGTCTTCCCTGCTCCATCCTTCACGCGCAGCCTCACCGAGAGGTGCGCCGAGGTCCCCCGACGTCTCCGGGTCCAGGGGACCAGAGGCAGCCCGGGGGCGGGCAGAGATGGGGCGGTGCACAGAGTCAGGCACCTGGAGGGCTTGGCGGGCAGCCCGGGGCCAGGCTTCCAAAGCCAGGGGTGTGTTTCAGAGTCAGGGCCAAGGGCAGCAGCTACTGAAGGAGACGGACCCCCCAGGCCAAGGCAGGACGCGAAACGGCCGACGTGAGGCAGCAGCGTGGACACTGAGCAGTCTGGGTGGCCCCTTCCGCACCCGCACCTCACCCCCTCGCCGGACTTCTCGCAGCCGCCCCCCCCTCCCCTCCACTGGTCGTCACTTCTGGTGGTCAGGGCTCGGGAAGGTCAGGGGGC